TCTAAAATATGTCTAAGTTTCAAAATTCAAATGGTTTTTAGTTTACCAGTAACTTCTAAATATAAATTCCTAATTATCACCTTTAAATAACTAAACACAACTTCTTTATATCTTATCTACTATGAATGCTACCTTTATAATTCTTTGTTTTTAATTTTAGATTTAGTATTTTACATAAACATAATCTTATCAAAATAATTTTTCTTTTTCACTTTTATTTATATATTTTTCTTACGTTCTTCTGGAATTTTTTTTTTTGTATTAGAATACAGTTTGACACATCTCCTTGTCCCACCGTATATATTGATTTGCATTAGACTGAAAGATGTAATGGCCCTGTCGCCTCCTCTCTCCACACCATTGTCACAATGAGGAGATTAGTCATAGTGAATCAAAACCTAAATATAAAAAGAAATATATATATAAAAAAGAAATTAATAATAATTAGGAATGTTGAAAGTAAGGCTTTGAGACCTAAAAATAAAAAAAGAAAACAAATATATATATATAAAAAGAAATTAAAAATAATTAGGAATCACGAAATCATGAAATCAATTTAATCCTTTATTTAACATTATCAAATTAACAAAATTATAAAAGTAAAAATAATATAAAAAGATTAATAAAAATAAAAATAAAATACAAAAAAGTTAATAATTATAAAAGATCATTTCCAATGGTAAAAATTGGAGTATTTATACTTTTTTCAATCTTCTTTATAAATAATATTCATAACTTAAATTATTTTCAGTTCTCACTATTCAAATATAATATTTTTATCACGCGTTATAATAATAAATCCAAAAGAACTCTTTATGCAAATTAAATATAAAGTACAAATCTAACGAATTTATATATTACAACAGTCTCCATCTTGTTGTGGTTACAAAAGAGCGTCGCTAGCCTTTACAATCACAGGGGGCTCAATACCCATCTAATTTGCGGGCTTTGGGCTAGTGTTTGCCCGGCTTTCGGCCGGGTTATATATTAATATATAATACATATTTAAGATTTGATAACTTGGAAAAATAATTCTGAATTTCATATTTTGTCATTTATCATATTATGCATACAAAACAAACTAGCATATAAATAATTTAAACAATACAAGACATTTCTAAATATAATATTTTTTAATACAAAATCTATTTATTACAGTATAAAATATTTTCGCTGGTATATAAAAAATTTTGTGTCTAAAGAATTACAAGTGATAAAAAAGTATAATTAATTCATACATTTGCCTCAATTGATAATGGTTTTTAAAGCATAAGGCAATATAATTCTTAGCAACTTACATTGACAAAATCTCATGAAACTAATATAACTCTCTGTTACCATTTTACACAATGTTTTATAGAATGGAGCAATAAGGAAAAATTTATAGGCCTAACCTTGTGAGATAATGTATCTTTAAAAGATTATCTTTCATTTTTGATGATATATATAAACGACTACACAGTTGACCATTATTGCTTATCTAAAATATGCTCTTGGCAGCTATAGTAATAATCTTAAATTACATAGCACACAAATAATAGATGCTGGTTAATTTGCAGTCATAGCCATGACACCCACAATGTTAACTCATATCAGATTTTATTATGTTAGATAAATTGATAAAACAGAAACACTAAAAATAATTAAAAGAAATTATGCAAATATATTGAAGGCTTGAGTTATTTAAACGGCAAGAATTCCATATTAGAAGTGACTATAAAATAAGAACCAGAGTGATGATGAAAGCAATTAAGATTTTATATATTATTGTCGCACCATCTCTAGTTGGTATATTATATCTTAAAATAATAGTAGTTTGTAATAATATCAAAAATATACTCGTATTAAAAATTTAACTCAAAACTGTTTTTCAAAGAAGAAAAAAATAGCTTTCCAAAGAACACGTAAAAAAAGAGAAGAGAAGATATCTAATTTATTATATCCATTGTGGGATGAATAATAAGATGTTTAATTTTTAATAATATTAATGACGTTAAAGAATTGAATGCAAATTGTTACTTATATTTATTATCAAATGTATTTATTAGTAAAATTTATAAAAACATTAATTGTAATATTTTATATAACTGTCAAATACGTCTGCAAAAGTGGCATTTTACCTAATATTTTATAATCAATTATATATATAATAGAGGAATCTAAACTATATGTCTATTTACTTTTTATAAAGAAATCTCTTATACTTATTTGGACCTTGAAAATATTTTTAGGAAGAGGCATGGTAATTAAATTTAAAAATGAATATTATAGTTGATTAGTGATTTTGAACTATGCTAAAAACAATATAAAATTGTTAATTTTCAATTAAAGAATGATTATATTAATTTAATAGGGTTATATTATAATTTAAATAATAAAAGTCAATTAAGCTTCAAATGCTAAATTAATATTTAGTGAGTGATATTGATATTCTGTTTTTAACATAGAATTTGATTGCAAGCTGACATAGTGAAAATATAATATATTTGTATTAATCTAATCTAATAAGATAGTCACATTAATTTTTAAATAATAAAATTAAATATATATTACTTAATAGAATTATAAAATAAATTTATTTTATTTAGGTAGGAGCCATTAAAAAACAAATTTTTTGCTTCAGTGGGCTATTCAAATTTTTCAGGGGGCTCGAGCCCCTACGCGCCCCTCCCTAGTGACACCACTGTTAGATGTGAATACAAAAGAGAAATGCTAGTTATTCCTCATTGTCATTTCTATCAAACTATATATCCAAAAAATTTCAGAGAAAATTTATACGAAAGGTCTATAAATTTGTGGTCAAGCTGCACGTACTAGTATGCAAGTCTAATAACTGTTATTTGCACATTTATAGACTAATGGGCAAAGAAAAAGCAAAGAATTGCAAATAAATTTAACTACTTTATGGGGTGATTTTAGTCTTAAAACCTATGTTAAATAAGTAAATTCTGTTGGTGTCGATGTTAGTAATGCAAATAAATTGAAAGCCTTGCCTTCACGTTGTATGTAAAACATACATTGGCGTACGCAGCGGGGGGAAGGGGGGGGGCAAATCTCCCCCAAAGCCAAAAAATGCAGATGCCGGATATATTTTTCAAAAATATTATTGTATATTTTAATTTATATTTGTTAATATTTATTCGTATCTCATATTAAATATATATTTAATTACATTTATTATTACATTCATAAGTTATTTTATCAATTAATTTCGATTTCAAGTTTTCCAGCGTAATATTTACTTATTATTTTCAAATTTTTAGTGGCGTAATATTTATCTACCATTTTCAAATTTCTAGTCAAATAATAATTATTTCTGAAACTTCTGGTCCAACAGGGAAAAAGAAATTGCAACCTTGTCCAACGAGATAGAGTATCTGCCATCAAGCAGTAAGAGCTTTTAAGGAGTTAGAAGAGCCAATTATTTGCTATTACTAAAATATCACAATGGCCTGAAAGAAATATTCCTCAGAAGCAAGAAAATTTTTGGATTCAATGCTTATTCCAAATTTTATTTCTCATTAGAATGTATTATTTAATTATACAATTATTTTAAGTATTACTTTTCAAAAACATGACATTGACTTGATTAAGAAGATGAGAATAGCGGAGAGCATTTGCAGAACTCAAGGAAATTAGGGCTAATGTTGATGAAGAATTACATATTTTATATTTTATTGTTGAGTCAAAAGCAGATATACGTGTTTAATATTTGTCTCCCTCGACTTGTAGCAAGACAAGCTTATCGTTAAAACATTAATATAGGATCAGTAGAAGAGTATATCTTAGATACAGATACATTTTTAATATAACCCAAATAAATGAATTTTTAATTCATCATGCAGCACTTACTAATCTGCAAATATTACTTCCACAAAAGCCTACCCAACCTTTTTCAGATGGTGATAGAAAAAAAAATATTTGTTAGATTTTTATTATGAAGACGATAAAGTATCTTATGATGCCTTACTAGCTGGATACTATGTTTATAAGATTAACTATGGTTGATAGAGTCCCAAAAAAATGCTATGGATGCTCTGCATTATTTCAAACACATTTTAGATTAAATTCCCAATGTATTAAAAGGGTTTATAAACTCATCCCATTAGTAAACTAATGAGATAACATTCTCTTTTTTAAGAAGAATAACAAAAATAAATTATATTTATTTTTGATGTTTATAGCTAATAACAATGATTTTAAATATAGACTGTTTTAAAAAATACAGCCCGGCCTAGGTGTTTTTTAAAAAATAATTCAGGCCCTGCTTGGGTGTTTTTTTAAATAAATCAGGCCCGGCCAGGGTGATTTTTTTAAAAAATTCAGGCCTGGCAGGGTTTTTTAAAAAAAATAATTTGGGCCCGGCCCGGGTATATTTAAAAAAATTAAAATATTGTCCGGCCCAGGGGCTGGGCCTGCAGATCTCTGAAAAACATACCAAGAAGTACAACATCTGAAAGCAGATTGAAAGGTTTGGATCTTTTGGATATACATAGGCATTTGACGACCAGCAAGGATGTGATAATTGAAAAATTAGCTCAATCCCAACGAAGATTGGATTTTACATTCTAAATATATAACATACAAAATACAATTATTCCTAAGAAACATTTTGTGTAAAGGATCAAAAAATTCAAATTTCTATTTTGGGTCATTTAAGTGATTCTTTACATATAATTTTTTTATAATTCACATTAATTTAAAATTGTGTATTAGGAATAGTTATTAGTCCTAATAAATTTATGCTTGATATTTTTAAAAAACAATAATATTTCTTAAAAAAATTTATTATCCCCCCCCAGACCAAATTCTTGCGTACGCGCCTGAAAACATATTAAAAACTCTTGTTGATTGTATCTCATCTTCTAGTTTATATAAAGTTAATCTTATTGTTCTACTGAATTCATAATTCATTTTTCCGTTGAAATAATCAAAAAATTAACATTCTTTTCCGATTATTTATTTGTAATAATATAATTGATGATTTTTAACCCTTCTTACTAGTGGACTTAAAATATATTATTACATTATGATTTTCCGCTTGTTATAGTAAGATGCCTAGACTAAGAACGGTACACAGCAAAACTTATGTAACACCTAGACGCCCATTTGAGAAGGAAAGATTAGATCAAGAGTTAAAACTAATTGGGGAATTTGGTTTAAGGAATAAACGCGAAGTATGGAGAGTTAGATATACATTGGCAAAAATTCGAAAAGCAGCTCGAGAACTTTTGACTCTCGAAGAGAAGGACCCCAAAAGATTGTTTGAAGGTATTCAATTTAATTAAATGTAGGCCATTAATTTAATTTATTAGGTAATGCATTACTCAGAAGATTAGTTAGAATTGGGGTATTAGATGAATCTAAGATGAAATTGGATTACGTTTTAGGTTTAAGGATCGAGGATTTTCTGGAGCGTAGATTACAAACCCAAGTGTTCAAACTTGGGTTGGCTAAAAGCATTCACCATGCCCGTATTTTAATAAGGCACAAACATATCAGGTATTTAAATTTCAGTCTTGAATGCTATTATATTATAATTTTTTTAGGGTTCGAAAACAAGTTGTAAATATTCCATCCTTTATAGTTAGATTGGATTCTCAAAAGCACATAGATTATTCACTTAAATCACCATTTGGTGGTGGCAGACCTGGAAGAATTAAGAGGAAAAATATGAAAAAAGCTACCACTGGAGGTAAAAATGAAGATGATGATGATGAAGAGTAGAGAAGACGAATAATTAAATATATAAATGTATTTAAATTGTTTGCTTCTATATAAATTATTTTATGAATAAAGTATGAAAAGTTACCTACATGGTTAAATAATTGTTTTAGATTATCAATAAGTTACATTTAAGATTGAAATTATATTAAGCTACATAAATAGAGTATTTATATTAAGTCCTCACAAATTTTCTGAATTCTAATTATTTTTAAAATCATTGAATAATGTTTGCTACACTTTTTTTAAAGTACCATATTAAAAATTTGTTTTAGGATTTTATTAAATAATTGTTAAGAACATAAACTACAAACCTACATTGATCATATTTTTAAGCCTGATTTCAATATTTTTTTAAGATGGCTTAAAATCTGGCCTAAATGACCACAATATCATTTCAATTTTTTAGACCAGTGATTTAAATTAATACTTGATTTTATTTATTAATTAAACCAAAATTACTTTAAATAGTTTAATATATAAGTGATTAAATCAGATATACCATTCAGCATTAGTAATAATTAATTATAAGATAAAATTAATTTCTTAATAAATTTTGATTCTAGAAATTGATTACATTTGCTTATTTAATTTGTGTTAACCCAAGAAACAATGAAAGAAGTCTTTTGTTTGATTGTTTAAAACTATTATAATAAATATTTTAGAAGCTAAATGTTTTATTAAAAAGGAGGTTCTAAAATGGGGGGGGGGCAATTATCACTTATATTCAAGATTTAAATAAGTAATTTGGTGATGCATTAGGATAGGAAATATCAATAATATATCTAATTAAAAATAATAAAATACCATCATTTTTAAAAAAGTTAAAAGACTGTTTAAATCAAAGTACAGTAATGTTGACTTATCTTCTTTCCCACTGAAATACAGATATTGACTAGTATTATTTGTGAAAAAAAATTGATTATTTGTAAATATATAGATTTTTATTTGACAATATGAAATTAGATTATATGTATTTTTTTTAAGCATTTTCTGACTAGGTCTCCTGAAGTGTTAAAATATTATGACATGTTTCAATTTAAATCCTTAGTTCTCTAATTAAAATATTATATTAAATACACAATTGAATTTTTTTAAAAATCACCATTTTGGTCAACCCTTAGATATATCAGTCCTGTAGGCCCAGATGCTGGGGTATTTAATTTTTTAAAAATACCTGGACCTAGTCTAAAGATTTTTGGGGGGTATATTATTTCTTGTTATTTTATATATATATATTTTTTAAAATAAATCAATTTTTCTTTTAAGATATTTTAAAAAAGTTTTTTCTAGAAAAGTTTGGTAGATGAAACTTTGCATTTTAAATTTTTTTTGGTGTTAATACTATAATTAAAGGAAGATCCCATAAATAAAAAAATATTTAGCAACTTTAGGAAAATTACTTTTTTTTGTTGATAATGCCTACAAATAGGGGTGGGGCCAATACCAATATAAAATTGGTTTACAATACCAATACCAATATATATTTAAATATTGGTATTGCTTTTACAACCAATACCAATTACCTAAATATATTGGTTTTGATATATTGTTTAAATACAATTTTAACCAATATCAATATTAAAAATAACATAATTATATGGGTTTATCGTGGATAATTATATTGTGGTATTTTTTTTACTTTCATTGCAAAAACTGATTACATCTGTTATTTCTTCCAAATACTACTGTGATATCAATATTTCTGTTATTTATAATTATAGTTTATTTTTATTATGGAAGTAAATTTTTTACATGATATCTCAATTTTATCTATTTATTTAGGATATTATAATAAATGAAGACCAAATAGAGTTAATAAATATAGATGCTTTTGGTACTAATAATAATAGTGATAAGGAACAAGAAGAATTATCAATATCTAATAAAAGACGAAATTCAGCAAAAATCTGGGAATTTTATACTACTTGTGATAATAAAAAAAAGGCAATTTGTAATAAATGTAAAAAAAAATATCACTTCCCAATTTTGGAACCTCAGGATTATGGACACTTCTTAAATCCATCCACCCAACATTATATAAGAAATGTAAGCAAATAAATATTGGCAGTAAAAAAATTAAGACAATAAAATCATTTTTACTTAATAATATAAATAATAAAGCTAATTTAAATAATTTAATTATAAACTTTTTCATTCAAAATAATTTAGCCTTTTCAATAGTTGAGGATATCACTTTTAAAAATTTAATAGCATATTGTAACCCTTCACTAACATTAGTTTCTAGAAAAACACTAAAAATAGAAATTATGAAACATTATCATAGTTCTTTTATCAATTTAAAATCTGTACTTTCTAACATTACATCTAAATTTTCCTTAACAATGGACATTTGGTCCTCTCCAAATAAAATACCCTTTATGGGCATAACAATTCATTATATTGATAATGATTTTAAATTAAATAATCATTTATTAGATTTTATTCCTTTTAAATCAGCACATAATTCTATTAATATTTTTAATTCTGTATTAAAAGTAAAATTTGAAATTGATTTTTTTTGCATTACATTAGACAATGCAAGTAATAATTTAGCATTTCTGAAAATTTTAAAACAAAAAGATAATTTTGATGTATGCTTTTGCCATATTATACATTTGGCTGTCATGGCTGCATTGGAACCCTTAAATACAACTTTAATAAAAATGAGGAATTTTTTTTAAACTTTCTATATCCAAATTTAATAAACTCGAAAAAATATATCTTGAAAAAAATCCACACTTAAAATTTCCTCACCCAATTTTGGATATACCAACACGTTGGAATTCAACATACCAAATGCTTGAAAGAGCAATATTGCTCAAACCCTATTTGACAACATATACCAATCATTTACAAAATACCAATCAAGAAAATTATATTAGTGCCTTAGCCTGGAATAATATAGAAATATACCGAGAATTTCTGGAACCATTTAATTTTGCTACAGAGATGGCCTCATGTGCTAATACTCCAACAATTTCAACAATTATTTTTTTATATTCCAGTATTTTTGAGCATGTGGAGAGTTATAATAATAATCCTAATGCTATTTTAAAGACAGCTTCTTTAGCTGCCTTAACAAAACTTAATAAATACTATAATTATAATAAACACCTCTTTATTATTTCAACAATGATTGACCCAAGATTTAAACTATCAAGTCATTTATTAAAGCATAATAATATGGAAACTCTTATTGGATATCTTACTAATGAATACAATATTTATAAAATAAATAATAACAATTCAGCGGAACTTACAAATGAAGCACAAAATAACAAAAAATTGTCCTTTTATGACAAAATTTATCAGGTGAAACCTCATAATAATAACAACTTAGAAATAAGTAAATACGTAGATGAAGCCACAATTTACAATGATACAAATCCATTAGATTGGTGGAAATTAAATAAAAATAGATATCCAGTATTATCAAAAATTGCCAGAGATTATCTAGCAATTCCGGCCACCTCATCTAGCTCTGAAAGGGCTTTTTCAGAAGGACGGTATGTTATAACAGACCAACGTTGTTCATTAGATGAGCATACTATACAAGCTTGTCTGTGCCTATGGAAGCGCATGCAAGATTCTTCTTAGATACATAAAACCTCTTCTTTATATCATTCTTTTGCATTATATTTTGTATAAATAGACAGTTATGTTACATTTTTAGTTTACTTATTTTGCTATGTTCTTTGTGATAAATAAAATGGTTCAAAATCAATACGTTTATTATTGTTGATACAAAAAATACATGATTAAATCAAAATTTTTTATATTCACATCACCTAATAAATTCCTAGTTTAAAAAAAGAATTTAAATTCAGTAAAATTTTGAGAGTTGGTTCTTAGCCCTGATTTTATGCTATCATGATTTTTTTTCCCATGTTTATTTAAAATTAGAAATTAAGGGTTTTATATTCTATTCTTTTAATTAGTAATTTGAATTTAAACCAATACCAATATAAACCAATAGTTACCAATATAAACCAATAGTTACCAATACCAATAGCTATACCTATACAATATTTTGTTAATATTGGGTTTTTACTATTGGTTCCCAGCCCTACCTACAAAGTTTTTAAAGGGGGATAATGATAAGGATAAGGCAAATTTTTGATAGATGGTGTTATACTATAATTAAAGGAAGATCCCATAAATAAAAAAATATTTAGCAACTTTAGGAAAATTACTTTTTTTTGTGATAAAGCCTACAAAGTTTTTTATATGAATCATAGAGGTAAGGTAAAATTTTGGTAGATGAAACTTTGCGTTTTAAATTTTTTTTGGTGATAATACTTTAATTAAAGGAAGATCAAATAAATAAAATTTAAGTAACATTAGGAAAATTAGTAAACTTTTTTCTGGAAATAAATCTAAAATTTTGTATTAGGGGTAAAATAGAAACCTCCTTTGAAGTTTAAATGATTTTTTTAACCTTTGTAGTGAAGGATTAAATCGAAATATAGTATTAAATAGGGATGTACCGATATTTTTTATCGGATCGAGATCCATTTTAAAATATCGGTTATCGGCCAATATTATAAAATTTTCAGATCCGATATAAAATGGTGTCTTTAACAAAAATAATGTTATAAAATTTTAGAAAAAAGTTATATCTAAAATCATTTATTTTTATAAATAAAATCGAAATCCATTTTTATGTATATTTTTTTAATAATTAATTAATAAACATTCTGCAATATTGTTATTTTTTTGCCCATTCTGTTTATAAAAGTGTGCGATAATCTCTTTAGAATCTGTTTTTAGTGAATCTGGCGATATTGACAGTTAGCATCGCCGCAGCCTGACCTCTGATAAATTGGAAATTTTGGTATTTCTTTAAAGAAATCTTAGATATATTAATGTTAAATATTATTTCATATTTCATAAATATAATTGTTTAATGTTATTACTTATTATATAAAAGTGATTTAACAATAAAAATATTTCATATATTTTTAGAATTGCAATTGAATTGAATATAAACTATAACTGATCTTTAAAATATATTTAAATGACATAAGTTATGGTATAGTTAAATTATATATGTTATACTAATAAAAAGTATATTAAAATTAAAA